TCTATTGGTAAGAATTCTGGCTGGTCTTTCTCAATCATCTTTACTGTCCCATCTCCCCCTGCTTATCATTAAATGTTGTGTCTTTAAGGGTTCAAAAAAATATCCTTGTCAACATCTGGATTATCTCAACATCACACTCTATTAATTGTCTTTACTCTTGAGAACGGGTCACACTTTTCTGGGTTGTTGTGGTTTTTTTGCATGTTATACAATTTTGGAATGTATACTGGACATTGTGAGTGTTACAATGTGGAGACTCTTAATTCTTTCTTATTCACCCAAGAGTGTTGCTTGTTGGTTAGTTTGTTTTAGCAGCAACAAGATTGGTTGGACCTAAACTGAAAACTCTGTCTCTTGGGTATCAGCTCTAACCTAAATTTAGTTCTTTTATTCTTAGTTGGACTGTTCACATGCGTGGCTCAGGATCAGCCAGTGATTTGGACAGTTTATACACAGAATTTGTAGTCTCTCCTCATAGCTCTCTCCTTTCTTGGATTCTCCTCTCCATTTCCAGAGATGTGGTTGCCCCAAACTCTGTCCACTAATTCTGTAGTCCAGAAAGACTGCAGGTTTTCTAGTAGAGTTTTAGCAGCACTGCCTGAGGCCTGCCTTCAGGTCAAAAGTTGGAAAAAGGAAGACTCATTTCATGTCGTCCTTTTCTGTGGACTCCTCTTCAGAATCTGCCTGCTTTTTTTCACTCTCCAGTGTGTTCAGTTAATTTTTTTTGTATTTTGTCCAATACTTATGGTTATTATTCATGGAATAGTTGGTCCAGTGTGAGCTAATTAGGCCATTCCAGAAGCAGAACTCTGCTAGTGGCCTATGGAAGTAGTCCACATTTGAGTGGTGAATGCCTGGATTAATGTAGTAACATGAACCATGGGGAAAAGTAGGCAAACACAAGAGATAAGAAGTAAAGAAATTTTCATGATGCCTAGGTGTGAGGAATTAAGATAAAAAGGATATCAAGACGACGTTAAGCCTGAGCTGCCAAGAGAAAGAGGTACAGGAAAAGAAACATGGAGATTGGAATGGAGTCTTGGTCAGCTCAAGCTGCCATAACAAAATACCACAGACTGGGTGGCTTAAACAACAGAAATTTATTTCTCACAGTTCTGGATACTGGAAAATCCAAGATCAAGGAGCCAGCTGATTCGGTTTCTGGAGAGAGCTGTCTTCTGGCTTTCAGAGGGCCACCTTCTGCTGTGTCCTCCCATGGTGGAGAGAGAGAGTATATTCTCCAATGTCTCTTCTTATAAAGACACTAACCCTATCATATCAGGACCTCATTTAACCTTAATTATTTCCATAAAGGCCCTATTTCCTAATACAGCCACATTGGGGATTAGGGCTTCAATATATCAATTTGGGGGACATAATTCAGTCTATTGCAAATGGAAAACTGTCTTTAAAAAAGAAATGATTATGAATTTTTTTAGACATGTTGAGTATGAGATGAACAATGTACAAGTTTTTGGAGACCTGGGGTGGAGCATGGAAAAGAGAAGATTATTGATGATAGATTTATAATCCTTCAACATAGAGTTCAGAGCTGAGGCCCTGGGGATGGATGAGTTCTCTGAAGGGAAAGCAGAGATCAATACTGAGGATTAAGGGAGCAAAAACCAAGCCATATGTAAACTCTCACAGAAGTTAAAGGAAGATTAAGTCAGCAAATAAAACAAAGAAGTTGTTGGAGAGAGACGAAGAGAGGCAGGAAAGTAAAATAGTGCCAAGGAAGATGAGAAAGAAAAAGAGGGCTGTGAGGAAGTGGTCAACAGCGCTACAAGCAGTTAGGAAGGTCTTGAAAAAGGCCATTGTCCAAAGGTCCTGGATTTGTAAATTAGGAAATGGTTACTGACTTTCAAGAAAGCAGTCTCAGTAAAGTGATTGGTAAGAGATTAATGTGCAAGAGGTTAAGGAAAAGCAGGATGGGAGTGATATGAGGGACATATTTGGAGCATAAATGGTGAGTTGGGTTACCAGGGTAGTGAATGCAATAAGGAACCACTGAAATGTTCAAAATATTGCCAAGAGCAAATTGAATTCAGCCACGATCAGATAACTACTCCTTCCAGCAGACTATGTTCATTCTTTCAACAAAAGTCATTGTGCACCAACTCTACCACGCAAAGTTAAATATACTGGGGGTAAAACAAATAGTCCTTGCCCTCATGTAACATATGCATCCCTCTTACTCCCTGCCAAGGCTCAACATCTGTCTTCCGTGCATTGAGATTTTTCCTTAGAGAGCTGGATCTCAACTGGAACTGTTCTTAATGAGGCTATCTTCCTTACCCTGGGTGAGCCCCACGCTGTCTACTCTTTGGGAGCAAAAGAATTAGATTCTTTTTCACTCATTAAAGTTAGACAAAGTTTTAAGAGTCAGTGAGCTTTTTCATGAACGCTTCCATCTCATAATTTTTTTCAATTAGCACATACCGCAATAATGATACTGCCAATTATCAAATGTCTTAGCTTAACTTTATTATAAGTTTTATTTTATTACCAACATAAACTCTTCATATAAACTGAGTGTTTAGTGCAGTAGATTCTGATTCAGTTAGACTGGGATCAATCCTAGCCATTAACATGTTTTAAAAGCTTTCCAGTTGATTTTACTGTGTACCCAGGATTGAGGCCCATTGCATTAGGGATCTGTTATTTTGTGGTGGCTTTTGTTGAAGAGCGCTGGCTCTAAGGTGGGAATAGAAATATTAGTGTCCTCTTAGTGTGGGATTGCTGTCTGCTACCTGCACTTATTTTAGGCTGACTTCTTTTGGTTTCCGCCCAACTCTATCTCAATTAAGATATTAAATATAATCTTAACCTCACAGTAAAGATTTTTTTAATCCAATGCAAAAATTATTTTGTGGTTGAGAAACAATCATGCCTGCAGTTATCTGCTTCCAAGTTAGAATGTATTTTTAATTTCTGATGAGTCCCTTTTCTTGTTTAATACTAGTTTTGACTTGTATTAGTTGGCATAGTTTAAATTCTAGTCACTTCTAGAATACCTTGTTAAATTGCTTTAATGAAAAGAAAGGGAAAATTTGATGTTTCTGATTTTGCCTGATGACTCTATTAAGAGCAAGATTGAATATCTGGCTTCAATAGAGCCTGTATATGTCTAGCTACATTCTGGGCATTTGATAGAAATAATGCCATGCTATATGGTCCCTACCCTGATGCTGAAAAGAAGAGACATGTAGAAAAAATATGTAGAACAGGAAGGTAAACATTGTACCAAGCCCTATTTTATAGCACTGGAATATTGAAGTTATCCGTTAGTGTGGTACTGAGTAAAAGATGGCAACCTCGAAAGTCTAAAGGGATCGTGAAGCTGACTTCGCTACTTGAATCTCCTGGTGAAAAGGAGATAGATGCTAGATGTTGTACTGAAACCAAGCTTAACACTTGAGCAGTCACATCACCTTTTAAAACTCTTGGGAAGATACCAAATATAGCAAACAAAACTTTCCATTACTTTACACCGTTTGTCTGAGTACATAAGGGAGAAAGAAACAAGACAATAGAATGGGAAAGAAAATAGGGATTGTAGAAGAGTAATTGCCATATAGTAGACCCGCAATAAATCTTGGTTGAATGAATGAAATGAGAGAGAAACATATTTGGCATTAGTTTGGGCTGAAGCACAGATTTTGTCTGTGAATTGTCTGTTGGGAATTGCTGTATTGAACCAAGAGTTAAATTATCTGTGCGCTTATTTTAGCCAGGACATATTTTCACCACTGATATCGTGACTGCCAAAGCGGGGGAAAAGGACAGAGAGCTTATCATGAAAAAAGAGAGTGCATTTTCCTCTTTTCTTTATTCTCCGTGTTTCATTATACCTTGTGCATTCTTACAAAATATGACCTAAAATTCTAAAGGAAGCCTAGTCTTTCAAAACTCGTCTGAATTTTGTTTGGACACCTAAGGATTCCATGGCTGTGTCAGAAAACTAACCTACTTAGCTGAGTTAGGAAAACTTTCTGTTCTCTGTCTTCCACTTGGCTCACCTCTATTCCTTAAATTCCATCCCAATCTATCCTTTTTGTGAAATGGGTTGAAAGCTACTTAGTGCCTCTGAGAAACTGTTGCTTGCAAATTTTACTATAGATTCTTCTTTTTACACAGTAATGATCTGTCACTAACTTTAAGGTTATAAAGTAGTTCTGATACTTAATTTTATAAACACCCTTATTGAGGTATAGTTTATATAACATAAAATTCACCCATTTAAAGTGTACAGCTTAGTTAATTTCAGCAAATCTATACAGTGGTGCACCCATCATCACAATCCATTTTGGAACACTTCTGTCACCCTAAAAAATTCCCTTGTGCCCTTTTGCAGTCAGTCTCCATTCCCACTCCCAGCCCCAGCTGACCACTGCTCTGCTTTCTGTAACTATAGTTTTCTGCAGCATTTTGCAGAAACTTCATCTGAATGAAATCAGAATATCTGATACTTATTTTTAATTTAGAAACTAAGTTTACTTTATTAAAATAGCCAAGACCAAGTAAATTAAGTGGATCTTGTATTTCAGTATAAACGGCAGCAGAATAAATTAATTAGAAGAAGAGTTTTCTTAATCATGTGCTGAGACTTTATTGTATGCCTCATTGCTGAATCGCCTCTTATTCTTTTTGTTTGATATCTTGTTCAGTTTTGAGCTGTGCATGACATATTACCTCTTTAAGATATATAGATTAACATTCTTTCCACCTTCAGGCTTTATTCTAAAGTCTATATTATTATGACATTTTTTCCAGAACTATAAGTATTTACGTGTGTGCAAAAGGAAAGAAAACAGAGATAACCTAATGAGCCCTCAGACATTTGTGGATGGATGAATGGGTAGAAGATGGATTGATGACTTCCACACATTTAGGCCTCTGGAAAGTGGTTTATATCATAAGTTCTCAGGGTATAGAAAATTAATAAGTTGTATATATTTGGAATAGAATTTCACTCTTTGTGTGTTTTTATTTAACAGAAGGAATGTGAAACATATTCTTGCAAGGAATAAAACATTACAATGGACTAAGTCTTATGTTTTACCGGAGTTTCCCTATGATGTCAAATGCCTGTTAGCAGAACAGAAGTGCCCTGATCACAGCATGAGGATACGGATCATTGAGTTTCTCCAGGCCGACATGACTAAGTATCTGGAAGGCTCGCTGTGAGTAAGAACAGGGCAGACTTGCTGTTTTGGGAGAGGGTCTGGTTTCAGAGTAGAGTAGAATTCTCTTCAGATTTTGGATGACATATTGGTAATAAGTCCAACATTGCCCAATATTTGAATGTCTACATTGTTATATAAAAACATTTGAAGAAAAGTGAGTGTAATTTAGACTCAGAGGAGGCAGTGTGGGCTGCTTGAAGTGAAAAATGTTCTTTTCATTGCACTGCACAGATATCCCACCACCCAGCAGTATAATGATGTGGTCAACGCCCTGCTCCAGGCCCACCCTTTCCTGGACGAGGATGGCTGTGGCTTTGTAAGTGACCGCATGGCGCCATTCTGTTCATCTCAGCCCATCTTAACATAATAGCCTTGTATTGTCCAGTCATTTTATGCTTCATCTCCCTTTCCTCAGTCTCTCTCTCTCTGTCTATCTATCTAGGTCTGTCTGTTTCTCTTTCTCTGTCTCATTCTCTGACTCTCTGTCTCTGTCTGGTCTCTCTCTGATGCTATTTCTTTGGCCCTGTCTCTGTCAGTTCCTGTTTCTTTCTTTGCTTCTCTCTCTCTCTTCTCTTTTTGATATCTTCTCTGTCTCTCTGTTTTCTTTTTCTTTTTCTATATAGAGTTTATTTTTTAGAGCAGTTTTCAGTTCACAGCAAAATAGAGAGGAAGATACAGAGATTTCGCATATACTCCCTGCCCCCACACATGCATAGCCTCCCCCATTATCAACATCCCCCTCCACAGTGCTACATTAGTTATAACTGATGGATCTACACTGACACGTCATGATCATCCACAGTGCATAGTTTACAGTAGGGCTCACTCTTGGTGTTGTACATTCCGTGGGTTTGGACAAATGTATAGTGACATGTCTCCATCATTATGGTATCATACAGAGTTATTTACACTGCCCTGAAAATCCTCTGTGCTCCACCTATTCATCCCTCCCCATCCTCTTCCTTTGTCTTCTTCATCTCTTTCTGTCACCATCTTTCTCTTTCTCTTTATCTCAAAGCTGTTTGTAAGCTTGTGTATAACAGGGAGTCTCTAGGAAGGATCTAAGAGATGTGATACCTGCAAAGAGAAGAAAGTGACTGCACCTACATCAGTGCTATCATCAGTAGAGTGTTCTTGCCTTCTGATTAGACCCAGTAGAGGAGTTGTCTGGCTTTGAGGTCTTGACCTCGAGCCTCACCTGGCCCTCTCACGTCTCTGACGTCCTGATAAAAACAGATCCTAAAGATGTTTTGGGGCAGCAGTTCTCAACTCTGGCTGTGCATTAGGATCCCCAGAGGTTCTAATTTAATTGATCTGGAGAATAGACTCAGGCATTAGTATTTTTAAAAATTCTCAAAAGGATTCTAATGTGCAGCCAGTGTCAAGAAACGCTGCTCTAGAGATCTCAGTACAAAGTTTGCCATCTGGACCTGTGTGTCTCTTGGCTTTAAAAGCCCTGGATCTCTGTTGCCCTATAATGTGAATATGCTTAAAACTACTGCACTGTACACTTAAAGATAGTTAAAGTGGTAAAAAAAAAATGAGTGTTTTATGACACTGGAACTGTATGATTTAAGGAACAATTATGGGGAAAAATCGCTATGTGTACATAAAGATATACTGTCCGTTATTCCTTATATCTCCCTACATACATATGCACTGGTAGTCAGATCTAAATAAGATAAATGTCTTTTTGTACCTTATCATCACAGATATCTGTGAGAAAATATTTTTTGCTGTGCTTTCTTGAAGACATAGAATTTAAGTAATTAGTTTCAATTTGAATAACAAAAGATAAATGCCACTATCTGTGAATATAAAAAAATTTAAGGCCTCTGCTTTCTTTCTCTTTCTCTGTTTCTGTTTCTCTTTTTCCCTCTCTTTTTCTTTCTCTCTTTCTTTCTCTTCCTTCCTTCCTTTCTTTCTCTCTCTCTCTTTCTCTTTCTTTCCTTCCGCCCTTCCTTCCTTCCTTCCTTCCTTCCTTTCTCTCTCTCACTCTCTCTTTGTCTCTTTCTTTCCTTCAAGAAAAAGTTCATTATACATGGATAGAATCATAGAATTTTCTGAGTGGGAGAGAGCCTTGAAGATTCTTTTTCACCACCCAGAGTCAGGAGAGATATTGGATCCCATGTCTGGAACCAGTAACTACTAAAGCCTAGACTAGAACTCAGATATCCTTGCTTCTAATATGACATCCGTTCTTAAAATATGCTGTTGCATATAAAAGTGCACTATAAAATAAACCCAATTTGCTCTAAAAAAGAAAAAAACCCAAACAAACCTAGAGGCCTGATGTTGATAATCACCCCGATATGGCTGATAAAACTGATTATAAGAATTCCCTCTACACTTAATATCTGCTAAGTAATAAATGTTACTGTGTATAGAGCTAGCTGCATTTAAAAAAAGAGTCTAAATTTGCTGTTTCAATAAGTTATACACTCACAGTGGTCAAAATTCAAAAGGTACAGAAGGATATAAATGGAAAGACTCCCTCCCACTTCTATCCTCCAGCCACCCAGTTTTCCTCCCCAGAAGTAACCCGTATTATTAAAGATTCCTTTCAGAGAATCTTGGCATATATATAAGCAAGCACATAGCTATCCAATTACATTTTGACCTTTAGTTTCATAATTATCAAAATGAGACAAATAGAAAGTAATGAATAATGCTTACTTTGATCTCGTGTGCATTTTACCCACATCTGTTCCCAGCGGCATTAACTAGAGATGGTTAACTGGTAAAGAGACTTGCAAAATTGCTTAGCAGGTTATGGCCCGTGTTTGTGCACATAGAGTGAAGGGGGAGAGTCTGGTGCTTGGGAGGTGTTTACCCAAATTCTCCCTGCAAGTGGGTGTGAGGTTGTGTTTCTAATGTTACCGTGGAAGATGTAGAAAATTTCTGAGAATCTTAATGTGTGTGTGTGTGTGAGAGAGAGAGAGAGAGAGAGGGCAAGAAAACAAGCGAGCACTTGGTTGTTTTTAAGGCTAATTTTATTCTCAACTTTTTCTTTAGAAAAATTTCAAAACAACACAAAAGTTGAAAGAAAGCTACAGTGAATGCCCATATATCCTTTACCTAGATCGAGTTTTCTCCTTCTCAGCAGTGTTTACATTTTGGGCTGTAAACTCTTTGTGCTGGGGGCTGTTCTGTGCACTGTAGGATACTTAGCAGCCTCCCTGGCACTCCTCAGGGGTGAGGAGCTCCCCACCCCACCGTGTAACAACCACCCTGTCTCCAGCCATTGCCAAATGTGTCCTAGGAGGGGGCAGAATCCCCGATGATGAAGAATCGCTGATCTAGAGTCACTAGTGTTAGTTAACATTTTGCCACATATATTTTTTCTCTTTCATGCTTATTTGTTTGTTTTGGCTGAGCATTTGAAAAAAAGCAAGTTGCAGATACCATTTCTAAATACCTCAACATGTATCTTGTGAGGATCAGGATCAGGACTATCTCCTATATAACCGCAATACCATTCTTATACCTAAGAGAATTAACAATAATTGCATAATATCATATACAATCTCATTTCTCCAAGTATTCAAAAAATGTTTTTGAAATGGATTTTTTTGCTTTAAAACTAATCAAAGAGAGCCAGCCCTGATGGTCTAGTGGTTAAAGTTCTGCACTCTCACCCTCATGGCCCAGGTTTGTTTCCTGGTCAGGGAACCACACCACCTGTCTGTCAGTTGCCATGCTGTGGCAGCAGGTCACACAGAGAACTAGAAGGATTTACAACTATGATGTACAACCATGTACTAGGGCTTTGGGGAGAAGAAAAAAAAAGAGGAAGATTAACAACAGATGTTAGTTTAGGGCAAATCCTTCCCCTGCAAAAACAAAAAAAAAGAATTACATTTAAAAAACTAATCAAGGATTATTCATTGCATTTGGATATTATGTCTCTTTAATTTCTTTTTGTCTAGAACAGTCTCCCTGCCCTTTCCTGTTTTTCCTGATATTTACTTTTTGGACAAGTCTAGTTCAGTTGCCATGTAAGATGATCCATATTCTGGGTTTGTCTAAGTGTTTCCTAAGGATTATATTTGGGTTTAAAATGTCAGGCAAAGATCTGCTAGTGATGCCGTGGACCGCTTCATGTATCAGATCAGGAGGCCCATCATTTCGGGGCTATTTTTTATTTCAGGGTGACTGGAAGAGAGCTGTATCTATGTATGACATTCCACACCTTCTGAAGCTGGAAAAGTATGAAGAAGGGGGATGATTATTCAATGACACACATATTTCCCACTGGGGCATCTGTGTAGGGAACTCACGGTCCCAGGCATGTAGCAGATGCTCAGTGAATACTCCCTGACTGAGTTCTCACGTGGACGATTGTATTTGATTTGTCTTTTTTCTGTTCCCCATCAGACAGCTAATAAGGAGAGAAGGGAGAGGCTGGGAGGAAGAAATTGGCAATGTAAAAATCTCCTAGCAATTGATTGCTATAACACCTCCCACCAGGTCAGCAGGTTTAGAAGCACTTCAGAGCTGTAGGAAACAGGAGAAAAAAAATGTATTTGCACTAGTTCATATTTCAGGGCTAAGAAAAGTACAAGCCATGCATTATTTCTGTGCTGCTGTAAAGCAGTGATGGCTGAGTCCAGACCCACAAGCCTGTGGGAGGTGACGAAGCGTCTCTGACTCACGCATACTCAGGAGCTTAGTCAGGGCTGAAGCCGTCGCCTAGCCTCAACCCGGAGCATCCTCACCAGGCTGTTGAAGGTTTTATGAACAGCACTTTAGTTTGCAAATATCTTCCATGAGTAGCTATTCATCTGAGTTTCCCAAAAGCCCAGTGCAGTGGACAGGACTGGTCTAACTGTTCCATTTTACAGTTGAGGAAACTAAGGCTGAGCTTGTTGAAGGTTTCTCGGCTAATACACACTACAGCTAGTCCTGGACCTTGGGTCTTTCCAACCTAGGTCCCATGGCTTTCCGAGGGGCAGGGAATAACTCCCATTGGGACTTTAGCCAGGGAACCAGGAATGGGAAATCTAAGTGCCAGACAGTGGACTACTGTGATCTCTGTGCCCTTTCCATTTGCCCGTGAGGAAGTAGAGCTCAGAAAAAGTGCCCAGAGTCACCCAGAGACATACCACCCTCTCTAGTGGCCAAGATGAGGAGGCAAATACGGGCCTGCCTGGCTGCAAAGGCTCATTTCCTTCCCCACACCCACTCTTGGGCCTATTCAAGCACATGGCATGGCAGGGAAGATGAGGGCTGAGAAGTGGCCTTGAGGCTCAGGCTTTAAGAAGTATTGGGCCACTCTGAAGTATTGAGCCACTCTTCACACAGCAAGTTACTTATCAAGCAAGGCCAGGACTCAGAATCTTGCTTCTAGTCTGTTGCTTCAACACCTGGGTCCCTCTACTTTGCAGAGGACTGACACAAGGCATCCAGTGTTTATAGTTTTCAAGATGCACCAAGCACTGTGCTGGGCTTGGTGAGCCAGGCAGGCAGGAGCCTGTCTTCATGTGCTTATAGTGGAAGGAAAGGAAGGACGAAGGATGGAGGGAAGGGAGAAAATGAAGAGAGGAAGAATGAAAAGAACAGAACAGAAACAGAAACAGAAAAACATCACATAGACGAGCGTAAATTAGCAGTGTAAATGTTGACAAGGAAAGATGAGAGCTGATAACCAAGGGAAATGAGCTGTTAGGGAGGCCGTAAGAGGTAATGGCTGAGCTGAGATCTGGCACAGAGCAAGAGTTAACTAGACAGCAGCAGCGTCAGGGAGGAGAGGGGCAGAACTTTCCAGGCCAAAACCAAAGGCCCAGCAGAGGGAGGGGGAATGTTAGGGGTGATGGCATGTTGAGGAAGAAGTCCAGGTATGTCCCCCAGCTGTTGTCCCTGTCTCTGGTCTTCCAAACAATCCATATACCAAAAGATAGTTCCAGAACTCAAATTTGGTCATCTACTCTCCCCATTCAACATGGCCTAGGAGGGCTTCCTAAGCTGGCTCTGCAGCCAAGTTATCTATAAAGCTTTAAAAAATACACACATCTGGGTTCCACTCAGACCTACTGAATCAGAATCTCTAGAGTTTGGGCCAGTAGCATCAGCGTCATCTGGGAACTTGTAAGAAATGCAGATTCTCAGCCCTACCGCTGACCTACTGAATTAGAGGCCCTGAGGGTGAGGCCCAGCAACCTGTGTTTTAACAAGTCCTCCAGGAATTGTGATTCAGGCTGAAGTTTGAGAACCATTGCTTTAGAAGAAGAACCAAGGGCAAAAGTTCCCTATGAGAGGGTATGGTGTAGCCTGTCCACAGAAAGGGGTTTGACAAGATCTGGTTCCGGATTACCTTGAAGCTCCTTTATGGGGTAACCATGCCCTTCAGAGTTGGGCAGGCTTCTCTCTCCCGCCTTATTTTCTATCACATCTTCTACCATTCCGCATCTTAAGCTCTAGTTTCCAGCCAGGCACAACTCCTGGCAGCTCTGCAAGTGGCACCAGCTCTCTGTCTCCCTCATTGCCCATGCTGCATCATCTGCCTGGAACATCTATCCACCCATCCCCCTGCAATCCCCAATGCCATCTCCATTCCCTTCATATGGTTCCCTGAGTTGCCCTAAGACCTAAGCCTCAGCTTAGATGCACATCCTACAGAAAGACTTCTAAGGTCTCCTAACACAATGTAGCACAATGCTGTCTTTTCCCCTATTATAGCACTTTTCACTCTATATTGAAATTATTCTGCTACACTGAAAGCTAGGCTGTCCTGTTCCCCACTCCTTCCCAGGGCCTGGTCTTTGTGTTTGGAACAGTGGATGCTCCACAAATATTTGGGGAGTGAATGCCAATAGTATTCACCAAAGTGAATTTCGAGGGATGACAGAAAAAAATCATATGTAAGGTGATGCATTTAAAGAAAATTCATCAATCTGTATATGTATAAGCCAGTCTCAGTTCTTTTCTAGAACCTACTAGAAAAGTGGAGTGCATTGTGGAGACAGCAGGGCACGGTGGAAAGCATCTAATTTTAGGCATTAGAAAATCTAGATTCAAGAGCCAGTATATTTACTCAATAGCTATATAACATCAGGAAAATATTTTCGTTTCTCTGACTCTGTTTCCTTATGTATAATTTAGGGATTATAATTTTTATAGCAATATCACAAGATTGTTGTGAGGATAAATGGAAGGATAGATACAGTATTTCTATTACTGTGGTGTGAAAATAATTTCAAACCCAAACATGACAGATAAAGAAAGGTTTTATTGTTTATATTGGATTATTCCAATCTCCTTGAAGATTAACTGCCCTGTTTTGTTATGGTACAGTTTTTATGGAAACGAGCCCTCAAGGACCGCTTTAAATATGTTCGAAGACCCATAGAAGATGACGAACAAGTGATAAGAAATAAGTGTAAATTTGGACACCGAAGAGGCCAGACAAGGAAATCTCTTGCTGATATAAGATTTGATGAAATTAAAATTGTCCAGATAAAAGTAAGATTGAATCTTTAATTGACCTCACAATTTATTGATTCATTGATTGATTAAGGGATAATAAGTAATAGCACTTAAAATAATTAAAACAAAATAAGGTATCCTTTTGGTGTGGTCAGAAACCAGGAAAATCTATGTTTTATATGGCAAAAAACATAAATGGTAATATTTCCAAAAAAGGGCTTCTCAAAACAATTTGAGCAGAGTGTGTTATTGAGCATCTCATGTATATTCTTTTACAACCTTCAAAAGACCTGGAAAAACCCTTATATTCTGGGTCCTTGAGTAATTTATCCTCTTCTCATCTTAAAATACATCTTGTGTTCTTGCTGTTCTATTGCCACAGAAAGCTTTTCATACTCATATTGTAGGTGTGAGGCCGCCTCTAGTCTCCAGGTTTCAGGGAGGAAGGTAGTCCACATGTGTGGACACAAAACTCCGTATTGCCCTTTCTTCACAGAGGCTGCCATGAGGAACTTCAGGCTGAGGGCCCAGGCAGGGCCTGGAGATTCCTCCCTCAGCAGCAGGTTTACTCTACATAATGTTCACATGGGCCCTAATATCTGAGATCCTGTAAATATTCCTTAACTACCTCAGAGCCCCCAAATCTCCTCAGAACCAGAACTGTCCCCTGCTAATAAAGTAGACTGAACTCCTTAGGGAGGATGTCCAAACTACCAAGTATAGAAACTAAATCTCATGTCCCACAGTTCTGTTTCTACCTCAATCCAACATGAATACAAATCCTAACTCTTCACCAGAAACACATTGATGTTAGCAATGTACTTGCTGTAAATATTCTATTTTCTTTTTGAGGTGGTGTATCTATTTGATATCAATATAGCAGCCTATTTGGCCATCTCAATTTTATTAGCACTACTTATAAGCTCCAGGGGACAGGAATATTTTTAAACATATTTTATAAACCATTCACCCCAGCATAAAGAAAAATTTTAGATCAAGTTGTATATTTTAAATATCTTATTATAAATTTAAATGGGATTTTCAAATGACAGGCCAGTTAAGATAATATAATTTTATGTCTGTTCTTTGATGACAAGACAGATGAAAGGTACCTAAAGTTAGTTGTGTAACTTTTTAGAAACTTTGACTGCAATATTCCAATTATAAACTAAAATCATGATAAGATAGAATTACATTCAGTTTAAAATATCTTTTATGGGGCTGGCCCCGTGGCTTAGCGGTTAAGTGCGCGCGTTCCGCTGCTGGCGGCCCGGGTTCGGATCCCGCCGCGCACCGACGCACCACTTCTCTGGCCATGCTGAGGCTGCGTCCCACATACAGCAACTAGAAGGATGTGCAGCTATGACATACAACTATCTACTGGGGCTTTGGGGGAAAAAATAAATAAATAAAATTATAAAAAAAAAAATCTTTTATATTCTTAAAACAAAAAGTCACTTTGTAAAAAAAGGAACATAATTATATTATGCATAAATTTTTCTCAAAAAATTTGATTTTCAGTATACTAAAAATGGAATTCCTTTATAAATGACTTAAAATTTTACAAATTCACTTTTCCTTCTTTTCCTATGATGCGTGTTCCACCTAACTTCATTGGAATGGATTAATGGTAAAATCAAGAAGTTAGGGGGCTGGCCCCATGGCATAGCAGTTAAGTGCGCATGCTCCGCTGCTGGTGGCCCGGGTTCGGATCCCGGGCACACACCGACCCACTGCTTGTCAGGCCATGCTGTGGTGGCATCCCATGTAAAGTGGAGGAAGATGGGCATGGATGTTAGCTCAGGGCTGATCTTCCTTACAAAAAAAAAAAAGAAGAAGAAGTTAGCAATTGTTCCCAGTACCAGAACTCAGAGTAAGTTCACGGGGTTGGAGATCACCCCCAGAGACACAGGCTAAATGGCAGCTCCTCTTTCCTGTTGACACAACATCATTGAATGAGTTTGTATACTCACCTTTCTGTTCTTTCTCAAAACCACCTAGTTCTGTATGTAATTACACTCTTTGTGACTCTTCCCTTCTAGTCTGCCAGGCATGCCTGCATCCTAAGATGAATCCTGCTAAGGCCTATGAAGGGGCTTTTGCTACAAAAAGAACAGAGAATTGAGTGTACCAGGGCCTGAAATAAGTTAAGTTGCAACAGAATTTAGTTTTGGGACAAGAAGAGATTATAAAGTAGTCATTGTTCACATCTGAAGACACAATATTTTTCCTAGCAAATAAATCTAATTGGTAAGGATTTACTTTTCTCCTCCTTGCAAATGGAGCTACAAATTGCTGATTCTTTTAAAGACTGTAGTATCCCTGGGTATGACCTAGTCTTCTGTAAAGCCAAAGCTTTAAAGGATGGGGGAAAATTTACACTAGAGTATTACAGAAACAATGTGTGTCTGTATTTTGTACCCTCCATAGTGATTAAGCAAATGGAAAAACACTAAGAAGAGTAGAGGGACAAATCCACTGAATATATTACTTATCTCACGGAATTTTATACTTCAGATGAATTAAATTATTTCTGATCTCCATTTTGAACATCTGATAGTTCCTTTTTAATGTCTTTAAGATTTCTGAAAATTAAAGATATTTGGATTAAGGTACGCTTTGGTAGCTTTCACATCTTTTAAAATTTCTTGACTGGGCACAGTATTTCCATAATCTAGAAAAAAGTTATTTCCTGTGCTGCAGAGATGGAAAATGTGGATACAGGCAAGAAGCGAGGAGTCAGGCCATTCCCTCAAAGGCAGGGAAATGGGTTTGGCTAAACTGGAGGAAGATTTTGGGAAGGAGTAAAGGAGGGGAAGAGATTTTCATTTGTTTTGTTTTTTCTGTTGTTTTTCCTTTGGTGGTTGGGAGGAATTTACCAAAGAATCGAAAGTAGATGTCTTAGTGAAGGAAGGTGGATGTCTTAGTCCTGTCACATGGGCTTCCACAGATAACCCAGAGAGCTGCAGAGTTTGTGTGGGTCTGACTATAAACCACAGATGTTTTGTCACTAACCCTCCTCCTACCCCAACTCCTAGGCCAGTTTAGCCCACTTAAACGATGCTACAAAATCTGAAGCATCAGCAACATCCGCCTGTGGGTATTAAATATGCCTGGATTCCTCAAATCCCACTGTTAAGAAGACTGATCATCATATTCTATGGATAACTATATTTCTCAAATCCCAGACTACGTATTTTGCAATGTTTACAAATCCTTTTCCAACCTCATGACCTCATATAACTGCTGCTTGTACTGTCATGAAGCAAATGCAACAGCTGTGCTATTGCTTCTTATGCATCTGACTTTCAGTTTTAGGTCCAAGCAACTCATAGCCCTGTGAATTGATAAATCTGTTTCCTTTGCTTAACTGTCTTCTACTATACTTCCTTGCACGTTTATAAACGGAGACATAACTAGATTCTCAAAACAGTAGACTTAACTGAGTAATTTCGTAAATTGCTGACAACATTATCCTGTTTCAACGACGAAGGCACTGGTTTTAAAAGCTTTCAGGAATTGTATGGAACTGTATGGCAGGGTAGTGGAATTATACTTTGTCCTGTAGCATTTTTTGTGAAAAACCTCGGGTGTTTGTTAATTAAAGTTAAGTGAATCAAACTCCTCACCCCATGGCACATTACCATCATTGTCCTGTGCTGGGTCTTTCTCCTGTTCTATTTTCTTTTTGTCCTCATTCCTAGTTGCCCTTCTCCCCACCTCTGCCCTTGGACAACCATTCTAATGCATTTCATATGTATCTTTTTGTTTGTAAGTGTTCCAAAATGTGTACTACCATTTTGGGTTTATATACATTTGACAATGTAAATGATATTCTATACCTCACTCATGTTTCACTTTTTTCACTGATGTTCTTTAAGACTCATTCATGTTACTATGTGTATGTCTAGTCCATGATTGTATGAATTATCAAGTACTCCTTGCCTCAAGCTTTGTTCCTCCCTACCACAAACTGCACTGCAGGGAGCACCATCATACGTGTCTGGTTAGGGACCTACCTGTTTTCTCTTTGAGTTGTCCACACAGAAGAGGAACTGATGGGGTGGAGGGCATGCGGGTACCTAATTTAACCAATTACTCTCCAGAATGACTTTGTTAGTGTCACTCCCACAGTAGTGCATATCCCTGTATTCCTGCCAACTCTTGGCATCATCCAGCCTTCTAGGTTTTGCCAAGTCTAATAGGCATAAAATGTAATCTCATTCTGGTTATGATTTGCATTTCCCTGGGTAACTAATGAGTCTGAGCATCTCTTCACATGTTTGTTAGCCTTTTGTGTTCCTCCTTGTAGAAAATTACCTCTTTAGATCCATTGCCCATTTTTTAATGAGTTGGCATCTTTTTCTTGTTAATTGTAGGAAGCAGTCCTTCCCATGCCCTAAATTGCAAGGACATTCTCCTGCTCTTCCTTCTACTAAGTTTATAGTTTGCACTTTCATGTTTAGATTGTTAAGACATCTGGAGTCCATCTCTGTATATGCTATTAGGTAGGGATCCCCATAGAGTGAGCCACTTTCTCAACACCAATTACTGAACAATCCATCCTTTTCTTATTGGTTTATGTTCCACTGTTATTGTACATTAAGTTCCCAAATAGACTTTGGTGTGTTCTAGGCAATCTCTCTTCCTCCATTGGCTTATCAGTCTGTTCTTGTGCCATTGCCACATTACATTCAATTACTTAGTGTTTATTACTTAGTATCATTTAGCACTTAGTATATAGATATTTTTTGCTGCCAGTGGAAGATGTGCTGGGTCAGGGAAGTCCCTCAGTAGAGAGGATTCTGGGGAAGTTCGTCCTCATTTTCCAGAATAAGGGGAAGGACAGGGGGTCCTTTTCTCAGGAACTGGCCCCTGGGTCTCCTCTGTAGCGTCCGCCTTCTCACAGGAGAACTAGAGCCTGGGCTAGGGGTGCTGCGTTCAGGTGGGAGGGTTGGACCAAAAGAAGGTTCTGAGCATCTGCAAGCACAAGGAGCACCAGGATAAGCTCTGTCTTGTTCTTGTGGAGGGCCTGC